GGACCTAAACAGTGGTCCAAAAGTTTTTCCATCCGTATGACCTTTAACTCAAGGACGTCATTTTCCCGCTTTACTTGAAACAACTCGGACCTCAACAAGCTTACCAGCTTGTTCAACTCATCAAGATCAGCACATGAAGAAGGAATTGACTCTGCCGAGACAACAGCAGGGCGATCCTGTGGCCAACTCCAATATGATTGTCTCATTTCCTCTTCACTCGGATGTAGCGCCCGCAACTGAACTGACTGTTTCAGAATACAGACAATATTCATATTCAATCATTCTATTTTATAATTTCATTGAATCTTATAAACAGTTTCAAGGGCTGCAAACCAAACCTCTTTGCTTTGGAAAAAATAATTGTTCAACTTCCTCATCTCGGGCATAGACGTAGTCGTTCTCCATCGCAAAATACGCGGGACAGCTGTTGGATCAACAACCTTGCAGTAATTCAGGTCCACCATTCTAGGAATTAATTCATATACCCAAATCTACACAATTCACAGGACAAAAGTCATTATTTAAGTTTTAAAGTTCACAAAGCATAACTGACATGAACATTATTACCATGTACCTGGAAAGCATACGTGAAACCTTTAAAACTCCACCCACCCCTTTGCACTTCACCATGCTTATGCTTCTTGCCCTTCTCATTTTTCCGGCTTGTTCCCGTTACCTTACTTTTCCCCTTCTCTCTTCCCTCTTCATTTTCAAAGCTTTTCGTATACTTTGTTGGTGCAGAAAATAGACTGTCTTGGGTTTTGTCAAACGACACCGAACCCCACGGATACCTGTTGAACGCATCCAAGTCCTCTACAAGGGTCAGGTAATTTACATTGATGTTCAAATGCTTGTCCCTTCCCAAAACCACTAACTCAGCAAAGTAAACAAGAGCTAGCTTGTAGACGTCATCTCTCTCTTTGCACCTCATAAATGCTTCTTCTAAAGCATTACATGTAATTCCTTCGTCTATAAAATATCTTTTCTGAAGTCTAATTTCAGCACTTTCTCCACTGGAAACTTCAGGCACTTCCCCAAAACGAAGCCCCGAGATCAAACAGAAATCCTGACGAGTAAACTGAGCAACGTCGCACCCTATTAAGAAACTCAGTCCATCCAAGTCTTTCACACCCTGCCCCGCGACTCGACGCAACACAACTCCATGCACAATCTGCCCGCTAAACTGAATCTTGTCTATATTCAGAAGATGGCCAAAGCATGATGTCTTGAATTGTTCTAATTGTTCCGCACTCAACTTCGCTCGAATTGCAGCTAGGGTTGAATTTGCATGTGAGCAGTTGTTCACCCGTGACGCATATGCCTCTGACTCTGGCCATACCAGCTGCACGTTGGATCCCATTTCCTAAAATACAAGATGAAATAACGTTAACACATATACTACCACCACGTATTTGCACAATCATATTGGTATTTAGTATTTACATAACTAGTCAACCAGGCACATTACAAATTTTATGAAGTACATGCGCATAGGGATTACTGATCACAGCCTTTAACATCATCAAAGCAATATGACAAATTTTGTGCAAATACCTGTTACTGCAATATTATTCATATCATTATTGATATGTTATTGATATGTTATTGATATGTTATTGATATGTTATTGATATGTTATTGATATGTTATTGATATGTTATTGATATGTTATTGATATGTTATTGATATGTTATTGATATGTTATTGATATGTTATTGATATGTTATTGATATGTTATTGATATGTTATTGATATGTTATTGATATGTTATTGATATGTTATTGATATGTTATTGATATGTTATTGATATGTTATTGATATGTTATTGATATGTTATTGATATGTTATTGATATGTTATTGATATGTTATTGATATGTTATTGATATGTTATTGATATGTTATTGATATGTTATTGATATGTTATTGATATGTTATTGATATGTTATTGATATGTTATTGATATGTTATTGATATGTTATTGATATGTTATTGATATGTTATTGATATGTTATTGATATGTTATTGATATGTTATTGATATGTTATTGATATGTTATTGATATGTTATTGATATGTTATTGATATGTTATTGACTTGATTTTCATTCATTTTTTAACATATACACAAGCAAAAATTAACATGCAAGTGAAGCACAAGGAAGAGATGCCAAATCCAACAACATTGATGGTACAAATTGGGGAAAACCTTTACTCTAACCCTAAACACAAATTCCATAAATTACTCACCAAATGCTGGTTATTGAACAATCGCAAGGTGTCTGTGCGGGGTCTTTGTGCGGCTTTGCAACACAAATGGAACCTATCACTTCCAACGACTACGGATTCTCTCCTTCCCCTTCCACTGCTTCGCCTCTTCACTGTTTCGGAATCCACGCCTTTGCCCCTTCCACTCAAAATAAATACTTTTTAAGGGTTTAGAGAAAGGAGTTGCGTTCAACCGTTGCCTTCAACCATCGTTTACCGTTGCCTTCAACCGTCGTTAACAGTTGCCTTCAACCTTTTCTCAGAGCTTAGCGGTTTCTCAGAGCTATGGGTTTTAGAGCGATGGGTTTTTTCTGTTCAAACTTCGAACTTGCCTCTTTTTTTAATTTTTCGAACCAACTTCAATGCTGGATATTAAATTCGGGTTTGGGTTCCTCACCTACCCGATTGCAAAACTTTATCTCAATTCTCCCTAGCCCTTAGATTGATATGATGGCTATAAAGTGAACCCCTTATAACTTAACACTTATAAGTTTCCACTCACTATAGAATCGGCCCCTCAGCATGGGCTCTACTAAATAGTTTTGGGTCCAGACAATAAGTGGACTAGTATTTGGGTCCAAATTTGGGTTTTCCCAAATTTTGGGTCCTTCATTTTCTTGGGTTGGGGGAGGTTTTGGGCAATAATTTGGGTTTAAGTCCTTTGGTTGGAGATGGCCTTATAGACTTCATATTAGACTAGAGAGATCACATTGGTATGTTTGGGTTAGCCAAATTTCGGGCATGTCAATGTCTTCATGATATCTTGTGGGTCGAGTAAGTGTACTTAACTTGGGCCCAGGAATAGCTGGCCTAAACTTGTTGGAGTAATTCATGATCTTCCGGACCTCATCAAGGTTTAGATGTCTAATGTAGATGTTAAATCCAAAGTGATTTTTTTTTTTTATACAAAAAATATTATGCTTTAATATAATCTAAATTACAAGGAGGGGAATTCGAACTCAGGTGTAGAGTGGGGAGCACATTCGCTCTAGCCAACTTGGCTAAGGCCATATCTGCATCCAACGTGACCTTTTCTTTTTCTTGGATAATTTGGTGTCCAACGTGGCATTTTAAATAGGATTTTCTGCGGTTTTGCCCCTGAATTATTTGCATATTGTCAATTTAGCCCTTTAACATTTTTTTTTCTTCAGTAAATTAAGGACTCCAATTGTTTAAAAATCGCCAATTGAGGACCTACCGTCAATTTTTTCAAATTCCATCCAAATTTCTATCCAAATTAAGGTTAAATTCCCTCCCCAATTCTTTCCCTTCCGTCTCCTCCCCACCTCCCCTTTCATCTCCCCAACCCTATGATCTCTCTGTCCCCACCCTTAGCTATTTCTCTCTCTATCTCTCCCTTTTTCCTTGCTCTCTCTTCTCTCGCAAACGCCATCGACCACAGGGCCCCCCCAACACCGAATCAACGTCACAGACCCCCAATTCCTCGACCCAACCCCAAATCCCCCTTATTCGTCTAGGGATGGCAACGGGTCGGGTATGACAATATCATCCCCGTCTCCACTCTCCATCCCCACCCCTGTCCTCGAACCCATCCCCATTTAATAGGTTTCGGGGAATCCCCGTCCCCATCCCCAAATCCCCAATTTTTTTTGCATAAAAAATATTTATCATACATTTTAATAAAATTATCATTCAACACATCCAAATTAACTATAAAGTTCAACTTAACTTTTCAAAATCACATCAATATGAAATTCCAGAGAAGATTAGGAAGAATTAGGAAAGGGAGGTTAACTTAGGGTTAAACATAAATATTATAATTATATATTTATTTATTTAAATATAAACATATATATTTTCGGGTAGGGTTCGGGGATCGAGACGCCAATACCATCCCCTCCCTATACCCGTCGGGGATTTTTCAAGTTTGGGGATCCCCGTACCTGATACCTGTTTGGCCCCGAAATCTCCTCCCATGAGGGTCGGGGACCCAACGGGTACTCGCCCCCGTGGGGATTTTTGTCATCCCTATCGCCTTCCCTCCCTCTCTCTCTCTCTCTCTCTCTCTCTCTCTCTCTCTCTCTCACCCAA